TAAAATAAAACAGAGTAGTCCAAAAATAAAAAAGCAATAACATCTATGGCTAAAATACAAATAGGTATGAGTAAAATACACTTTATTGCAAATACAATTAAGTTAAAAATTAAAAACGCATTTCACTCAAGCAATAACCTTTTTTAAGTATATTAGACAGGTTCCAAACATGTTTCAGGTCAAGTGACATATGGTTTTTGATCCATGTCACGTCACTCTGTTTCTCCCCATCAAGTGCCTCTATTATAGCTTGTTTTTATGTAATACTTATATTTTAGGTTATACTGAAAACTACATTTACCTGTTATGTGTTTTTATTGTTTATTATTGTATTTCTCATTGATTACATGATCACAATTGCGGTCATGCGACCAATGATGTAATTTTTACCATGAATGTCAAACTTTACATTGCCTATATAACCAACTTGAGAAAGCCTATTGCATTAGTGAAAAGCGTTGTGTCCTCTGGACTTTTTTCACAAATTTCCACTGACATTATGCGCATCCTGTTACTTTTGTTTGTGTTTGTAAACAAAACATCACCTGCATCAAGTAGCAAAAACAAAGTGTATAAAATAACTATAATGACATGAATTAAAGCATAAGAAAAAGAAAAATGCCAATTGATCTGGTAGTGGTATCTTATAACCTCCATGTTTCTCAAACCATCACCCCAGCCCTTCATGTGTCTCATTACCCCCAGCCCTCTGTGTATCTCATAAGCCCCCCCATGTGCATCATTAGCCCCTAACCCTCTATTTATCTCATTATCCCTCCCAGCCCCACCATGCGTCTGATTAGCCCCCCCAGCTCTCCATGTGTGTCATTAGCTCATCCATGTGTTCTATTAGCCCACCAACCTTGTTGTAGTGTGGCTGAGCCGCAGACCACAGTGGAGGAGCTACTATTCTTCTTTTGTCCAGTAAAGACTGGCATTGGATAATCACACCCCTGGGTGCAGAGGCAAGTGCCAATGACAATTTTTTCACATGGTAGGACACACCAAAAGCTAGTTTTTTGGAATGCTTAGGAGGTAGGCTAGTTGCAAGTAAGAAAATTAGGGAGTTCCTCGGATATCTGATATGCCTCTAATCATGATATTATGCCTCTTATCCTTGTCGCCCACTGAATGCAGTCTTAAAGCCAACTCCCTATACTGTAAATCGAACTGAGCAAGTGACTTGTGTACTGAAGTCATACCTTGCTGAAGTGCAAATAACATCTTCCTCAGTTTCCTTAACCCATTCTGTGACCACAAGCACCTCTGATTTGACTACTGCAAGGCCAGCATTAAATACATTGTTATTGTTGGACAACAGATTCTGTATGTCTCATTTAGAAGCAGGTGCATCACCCTCAAAGGGGTCCTAGGTTGCCGTCAGAACTGTAGGCACTGATGGAGGTGAGATGAGGTCAGTGCTACCATCTTCAAGACAGGAAAAGTAGGGCTCCATTTCAGTTTAGACCTTTGTTGGTGCTTGAGCAGTGTTCCAATTTCTTATGTGTTATTGCTTGAAGCCACAGGAGGCTATTGTGAGCACTGGCCCATCACTGTTTGAGATAGAGGTATATTGTACCATGAGAAGTCCAAGAAGGCATGGAGGATACATTATGTACAAGAGTTTCCTGCTGCATGTGGTTGCCAGATGGTATAGGGCATTGACCTAAGTGAAAAAACGCCCAGTTCAGATTTTAGAAACTTAGCTAGGTAAGTGGGTAAAATATAAGAAATTTAAGCTGAAAAAATATAGATAACTCCACAACCTGAATATATTTCAATATATTTCACACTTGTTCACATGGCAATGGAAATATAGCATATTATTCAGTTTAATGAAAATAATACACTTTTAAAAAACACCATTATTCAAATAGCTATGTTCACATTTACCAACTTCAAATAAACCGAGTTTTTAGGCACCATGAATAAAAAAATTATTCTAGTATCCTATGGTGCTTGGAAGTATTCAAATGAATTTATGGATTCTATAACATGATGACAGAATGTTTTGAAAGTTAAGGAAAGCCTGGCATGCCAGAAAGCTCGAATATATAAATACCCCTCAACATTTCAAATGGACAAAGAGGGACACCTCTAGGGTGTGAGTGGACTGAGAAATTTTAGATGATTTACTATAATCAATTTATACAACTAAAATGTTATTTAGAACAAGAACAATGTTTCTTAATTACACAGACTTATTTCTTAATACCTTTATTGTAGCTTAAAGACACCTTACTGGGCGTAATTAGATAAACAACAACAATAAAAGTAGGCCGCTGGAACTACACAAGCCAGAGTCTCTTGTTTCTGGCGGTTGGTATGGAGTAGGATAGTGGTACAGTAGCAGCACCTTTAGCTTATTCTCAGGTCCAAGTGACGGTCAATGAATATGCAAAATAAGAAGACAGATGAATACCATATAGTGTAGTATTTTCTTGTGATCGGTGAAAGGAATATAGAAAAACACTTACAGATCTGAACATACCATCTACAAAAGACTTCAAGAGACCAGTATATGTACAGGTGGGGATTATATCACCCAAACGCAAACACTTGGAGCTAGTCGGAAGCTCCAAAATATTGTAAGTCTTATTCTATATTCCTTTCACAAATCACGAGAAAATACTACACTACATGGTATTCCTCTGTCTTTTTATTTTGCATATTCACTGACTGTCACTTGGACCTAAGTACAAGCTAAAAGCGTTGATACCGTACCACTATCCTACCACATTACTGGGTATATTATTGCTGTGAAGCTCTGTTATACACTTACACACACCAACAATATGGGGCTCCTAGAAAAGAAGGACATTAGAATATAACAGGGGGACAGAGTTATTTGTGTCCAATATACGGACCATTAAATAGGGACAATTGCGATGTATGTATATATGTTTTCATATTATATAAGTAGAACATGCTTGCTTAGCTCGTTTAAGCGGGGTTTACTTTAGCATTTATAAATTCTGACCACATGCTGCCTAGATTAAAACAAATGATAATATACTGTATATCACCATGTAGGAAAAGCTACCGTGATAGCATCTGGATTTGGATCTGGATTGAAACACATTTTGGAACGCTTATCTCTATAAATATTCTGTAGAATTGATGCTGTCCTAATGACCCAGAGAGGTGGGAAAGATTACTTAATACTTAAAGTGGCTAAAAATGGAACGTGGTGGGAGGGAGATAAAAAAGACAAATGGATGAGGGGAGGAACTGAATACAGATAATCAGGAGATACAATTTAAGAAGAGGCAATGAATAAAGGAGAGTGGAAATTATATGTGTGATGAAATAAATGGTCTAGCTTGAGAAACAGTGTACAAGCAATCTCACATTTGTATGGTTTTGAGTGCCACAATTTCAGATGATGTCATTGTGGTTCTTTTGAAAGAGTAAGCACATACTAAAAATGTTCTCTGTCTTCTAAGTAGGTAAGGTATTGTTAGTACTTAAATTAGGGCTTTCTGAGATGCAGTTGGCTTACATAAACTTTGATGCATTTCATTCACCAATAATCTAGACTAGTTATTGACAATCTTACTCTAATAAATGTAGCACGTTTTAAGATTAAGGCTGGTTGTGTTCAGTAAGAATTTGATCCACATTTTGAGGTCAATGAATTCAGTGCTCACAATTCATATCAACATCCATAAATTTAGCAACAGAGGGTTACATTTAGCACTCATATGCAAAAAATGCACCAGGTTAAGAATGTGTCAGAGGTCATAAGTGTATGCAACGTGCAGGTATTGAAAATACACAAATCGATTTTTGCACACACAAACACACATTGATAAAGCTCCATATCCACAGATGCAGTAATTTAGTTTTGTGTTCTTGATTGATAATATCCAACTTTCAATAAACTGCATCAAAATCCAACACTAAAGTGGATCTCACTAAAGTCTAGAGTCACATTTGTAATAATATACTATTATAGTATAGAGTCTGGATAAAAATGTCTTTTGAATCCAACCACATAAAACCTCCATAAGTTTAGGAGCATAATTATTTGTGAAACGTAAACAAATTAAAGTTTTATAGTATTTAAATGTATGTATGTATTTGAAAATCATTGTCAGGAGTGTGTTACGTGTTAATATATATGATACCTATTTAGGCATTTTAACAACAACTTTGAATGTGTGGATAGATGGTTGAGAATGGGATGATAAAAATGGATGGCAAGTGGTGAGTTAAACCCGAGGAGTTTGCCTTGGGCGGCATTTTTCAGGGGGTGGCAAAAAACGCCGCCCCCCAAATGCCCAGGGCAAATGCCTTGTTAGCCTGGCGGCTAACAGACATGCTGGGCTAGGCGGGCGGGCGGCTGGCGAGGGAGCACTTCCCCTGAGTGGTCTGCTCAGCTCCCTCGCACGCCGCAGAGTGAGGCAGGGAGCCGGGTTGATGACGTCATATTCCGGCTCCCAGCCTCACTCTGCGGCGCGCGAGGGAGCTGAGCAGACCGCTCAGGGGAAGTGCTCCCTCGCCAGCCGCCCGCACAGCCCAGCCCGGCAACCACTGGACCACCAGGGAGGTAATGAACCCCTCCCCCCCCAGCACTCCCAAAGGTAAGGAGGTTGGGGGGGGTGAATAAAAAAAAATGTGTTAGAGTGAGTGAGTGAGTGTGTGTCTGTTAATGTGTGTGTGTTTTGTTAGTGTGTGTGTGTGTCTGACTGTGTGAGAGTGTGTGTTTGTTAGTGTGTGTCTGACTGTGTGTCAGTGAGTGTGTGTTTGCCTGTGTGTGTGTCTGTTAGTGTGAGTGTGTTTGCCTGTGTGTGTGTCTGTTAGTGTGAGTGTGTTTGCCTGTGAGTGTGTGTGTCAGTGAGTGTGTGTCTGTTAATGTGTGTGTGTTTGTTAGTGTGTGTGTGTGTGAGTTTGTGTGTGTGTCTGCTAGTGAGTGTTTGTTAGTGTGTATGTGTGTGTCTGACTGTGTGTCAGTGAGTGTGTGTGTGTCTGCTAGTGAGTGTGTGTGTCAGTGAGTGTGTGTCTGTTAGTGTGAGTGTGTTTGCCTGTGAGTGTGTGTGTCAGTGAGTGTGTGTCTGTTAATGTGTGTGTTTGTTAGTGTCTGTGTGAGTTTGTGTGTGTGTCTGCTAGTGAGTGTGTGTCTGTTAGTGTGTGTGTCTGACTGTGTTTGTCTGTTAGTGTGTATGTGTGTGTCTGACTGTGTGTCAGTGAGTGTGTGTGTGTCTGCTAGTGAGTGTGTGTGTCTGACTGTGTGTGTGTGTGTGTCTGTTAGTGTGAGTGTGTTTGCCTGTGAGTGTGTGTGTCAGTGAGTGTGTGTCTGTTAGTGAGTGTGAGTGTGTCTGTTAGTGTGTGTGTGTTTCTGTTAGCGAGTGTATGCGTATCTGTCAGTGAATGTGTGTGTGTGTATTTAGAAGGCGGGGGGGGAAGGGTTGGGGGGGCTGGCGCGGTGGGGGGGGGGGCGCCTGACTTTTGTCCTGCCTAGGGCAGCACAAAACCAGGATACACCACTGACTGTGTCTGCAGAAGTAGCAGGTAGTTCAGGCAGACATGGGCTCAGACATGGAAAAAACATTACAATGAAAATAATTTTAAAAAATGGAAAAGCAGCAGCTTGGGTAATTCAACTTTATTTGTAATACGTTACTCCCCAACCCCTTGCATGGCATCTGCTGAAAATGCATGTAGAAAGTGTATAGTGACTACAGAGTGTGTGTTTGTGTAAGTATGTAGTGTGTGTGTGTTTGTATAAGGATGTAGTGTGTGTAACTGCTAGTGTGTAGTGTGTGTAAATGTTGTTGTGGGGCTGCATACTCTAGGGGGCAGGGAAACCGCACATTTGGTTTTATAATTTATTTAAATTGTATTTTATTCCCTCCTCCCTGCGGCTTACCTAGGGTCAGGGAGGGGGATAACATTCCATGTGGGTCTGGTGGCATAGTGCGGGTCCCCGGCTCCCTGTAAACCGCAGAGGGGGCCCTGCACACTGCGTCTCTTCTTTTTAGCTGCTCTTCTCTCTCCAAGTCTCACGAGCAGTGTGCAGGGCGCTCTCTGCAGTGTACAGGGAGCCTGGGGCCCGCAGGTGCACATATATATAGCGAAAATCGCTATACATATGTGCACATAGGTAATGTGGGGCCCAGGACTTCCAGGGTAGTCCGGGCCCCCCAGGGGCACCGGGCCCATGGCAACCGTCATGGTTGTCATGCCCTGATGGCGGCCCTGCTGACATCACCAACAATGACAGGCATTGAAACCAATAATAGTGTGGTATGTAAAAACACCAAAATTGCGCTTCTGACAAATTGCACTCACAAGATAGTACTAAGTTGCAGGCATGTAGGAATCTTTAAGATTTGAAGTTTTCTTCTTTTTCAACCTTAAGTAAAAAATTAAGAGGGAGAGACACAAGCATAGTGCACCAGTATAATAAATGGAAAAAGCTTTATTTAGATTGCACTCACAAGATAGAAGTAAAAGTCCAGCATATCAAAACACTCAGTCCTTCCAGTGTCACAATCCCTTCTGTTCTAAGGGCAAGCTGAGAAGTAGCCGGAAGAACTTTTAACAAAGTTCAGCAAACAAAGTAAAAATAAAATAAATAATACAAATAATACAAAAAACAACAATTGGAGTGCTTCCTTTGTCTCTCCGCCCTACGCGTTTCGTCCTGAACAGGACTACCTCAGGGGCAGATAAAGGTATGATGTCTGATCTCTTCCGTTCGCTTTTTAAATATGACGGTTGTTTCTCCCGCTATGTGTGCAGCCAACCAGGATACGACGCAGTCATTCCGTTCACCTGTACTTGTTGATTTCTTAAATTGTGTTCCACGCCTCTCTCTGGAGTTGCGTTTCAATAGTCACATCTGTTATCACATGGAACGCTTCATGCGTTCCACGGTCATATACCCGGAAGTCCTCAAGTCCGTGTAACATAGAAATACAGATGAACAATAAAAATAGAGACTAAAATAGAATACCAATGAGAACATATACATGCTCATCTTTAAAGTTAATATAAACATTTATTATAAGGGGAAAATAAAAAGAATAAGTAATCAAATGATCTACATAGGAAAATGTCAAATTAATCAAGATAATATATCATATATAATCAATGATAAAAATGGCAATAAAATTAAAATCATACACACATTCAAGGGTAATTAATGGAAAGGTATACCTAGTGATAAAATTCATACTGAGAGAGAGAAAACCCAGAGGACAGAATAGGGGAATATAGAATAATTCATATATAAATGTAAAAAATATAAAAATAAATAAAAATTATATATATAAAAATTATATATATAAAAAATGGCAAAAAACGCAATTTTGGTGTTTTTACATACCACACTATTATTGGTTTCTGTGTGTTCTTATATTTCTAGATTGTATTGCTTGTATTTTATTGAGAAGACTTGGGGGATATTCTTACAATCTAATATACGGATAAAAAGGGTAACTTTATTTTACATACATTTACCCACTGAGGATATATTGTAATTTTTTGTAATGACAGACATTGGTATACTATGTTTGTACTCCGAGTCCTCACTAAAGAGTGGCTCTTATAACTCCCACAAAGTTTACTCTGCTGCTAAATATTGCTAACAGTGGTGGTGGCGACAGCAGTGGTGGTGGAGGCAGAGGTGCCACCAGTCATCATGGTAGATGTGCTTGACCTTTTCTAAGCTATGGTGCTGATGATGGGTTGTGGAACAGGACCAATTCCCCTTCCCTCCCTCAATTTCGTCTTGGGATTAGTACAGGATATTGATGTTGGTGAGTTTGTTTTGCTTATAACAATAAAATAGGGATATGAATAAGTGTGTATTATGTAAAAAAGCACAACTGTATTCAGCAAAGGTAGATAGATTTTCTTTCTATAAACAGTAAAATAAAACTTTTAGAAACTGCATATTGGTAAATTAGTGTCAAACCAGGAACAATGACTAAATGTCAAACTTCTATCTCCCACTCAAAGTTGTTTAAAGTGCCCCTGAAAGCAGATAATAGCTAGCTACAGCTGCAAGCTACAACAAGTCTCACACTTGAATCAATGAAGCAGGCTCGGGAAGAGGAACTTTTTTACTTTGTTACTGAACACTCCACCCAAAACAAGGATTTTCTTTCTCCAAACAGTCAACAAAAATAAAGTTGCTTATATTGTTTATTTAATTACCTATCAGTGGGTTCCACTACTTTTAGAAAAAAACTGGAGTCATAAGAAATACAAGTGAATTAGTTCTATCAGAAACACAAGATACGCTTATTAACCAATGCTGCCTCTTAAATTCAAGAATATACACTATATACACAATTTAGGCATTTCACATTTAGACTGAGATTGAACTATTTTTGAGGAATCATAAATGATGCTGATGATCATCATTAATTAAATGAATGGTTCTTGCATACACATATTCCAGCTTCACATTTGCATATATGCTCACAAACCGAGTAACTAAACTATTAGTGTTTATCATTATGTGTTAAGCGCTTCAGCCTCAGCTGTATTCATTAGTATACGACATTTATTACAGTCAATGTGATTTCATTTAATAATTCTGGTAAGCACACTCTCATTCATTATTGCTCTAAAAAAGAATGAGCTGCAACATGCATTAAGTACTGTTATAAGCCAAAGAGCAAGAGAAAGACCATTTTGAAGAGTGACTCACGTCTTCTAAAGCTTTTTTTCATTTACCAGTGTTGTTATCAAGATGATTAATCATTTCCTAGGGAAAGATCCATTTTGATATTTAATTTGACAGTACTACTGGTCTGTCACGTTCTATTACTCTTGTGCTTAGTTGGTTGACAGAGATAGTCTTCAGATTGCTGTTGTCATCCATATGTATATTTTTGTAACATGTTTTGACAAGACGATTCTGCAGGACATGATACTATCCGTGTGAGCTTATTAAAAACCTGACCTGGTGGTTGTGATGAGAAATTGAGTTTAAGGATTAAGGAGATTGTTTGTTTGATTGTAGTCAGAAACCGTAATTCAGTTAGCAGCTAGTGAGTTCAGAAAACACAGAAAAACAGGAATTTATATTTTAAGTGAGATGTGATAGTTTAATGAAACATTATTTGCATCAACCATAGAGAATGATTCTAAAGCAAAAATTCTACAGTAGGAAGGCACTATGAAGATTATTGATCAGAAATCTTATTTTTGTTATGATATTTCTCATCTGTATTCTGCATTTAATATGGCCCTAAGCTTTACAAAGGAAAGCAAAGCCTTTGTTATTATAAAGGATGAATAAAAAAAGCAAGCAAACAAAGTAAAAAAGAATAACAATCCAGCAATAAATTGTGTTTCAGTGTAGTGGGGCAGTGGTTGCACAAGGCTGAAGATGGGATTCTACCCAAAATGTTTCTTATTTGTAACTGTTCCGTATGAAACATGTTAACACAAATAGGGATCATCATAGACACAAAATTAGAAATTTCAAATATATCAAGGAGTACTATCAATTGCTTGATTACCTACCTTTCTTAAATACCTATAGCAGCACTTAGAATAATGTGGGCTCTAATGCTACTTTCAATGTAGCTGAATTTTTGTGAGAGCTAATGACTCCACCAAATGCTGGTTTGCATATGCAATAGGGTATTTTAAAGATATTAAAGGGACACTTGATATAGATCCAATGTGATCTTTGGTATATTCAAGAGAGCCCAAATTATTATTTCAAGTGCACTTGGAGGAGTGTGAATTCAGACATCAGACACCTGTTGGTATTCAAAATAAGCCTCTGCCCTTTATTTTGTCACTTGTGTTTTTATACATTAAAAAGTAAGTGCTTACGTGCAAATACTCATAAGACAGGAGGGGCAGACATCATTAACTCATTATTAGTAATGTTCCTTTTATAAGGAAATTCTTTATTAATGATTTAGTAATTGTAATTCATACAACCACCTCCACATACATTTAGACTATCAACTCCATATTCATACATATAAGCAGCCACCTCCAAACACATCCATACACATACATACAGACGATCGCCCCCATATACACATACAGACAATCAACCCATATACCCATATCCTCCATTGCTTTTGTTTTTTTCCTCTCCTCTCCTCCTTCCTCCCTCTCACCTCCTGGAATCTCTTTCTTCCTTAGATTCAAAAATATATTTTTTTTCCATAGAATTACCTATATATTTACATACATACAATAACCTCTGTGTACACATCAGTGGTGTATCCTGGTTTTGTGCTGCTCTAGGCAGG